GTATTCCATGTGTAAAATGACTCAAAGGAACGGCGGGGGCAGGACCGTGCAATAGAATCGTGTCAAGTATGCAAGGGATGTATGCAATGTGATGCATTGTGCTACAAAGCGTAAACAAGCAAGCACACTAACGTGCAAACAAATTAGAAACTCTACACTGACCTTCACGGATATGATATTAAAAGCGAGTGCTCAAAGCGTATCTTTAGCAAAATAGCGAAAGGAATTTGTGTTCCTGTTTTAAAAAGTAAACTAGAAAACAAACTTGTGTTTGCACGAAACGTACGAAAACCAAAGAACATTTCAAAGTCAAAAGTGGAGATCCAGTCCTTTGAAACTCAAGCCGAATCTAAGCCATTCGGAAAGAAAATATCCATTTTTAAATGCGATACAGCGTAAAGGCCACAATTAATGAATGCAGTCCAGAGCCCTGCGATTCCTGCCAAATATTTGCTTCTTTTTTTGTGCAAAATCTCTGCACTGGCATGCAGCAACATAGTGTCCTTAGGTTCTTAACCATAACATCCTATTGGACGATTCGGCCTCAGCTCTCCATTTAAACCCTTGCATCCAGTGCACCCTCGACACCAGCCTTTACCTAACACTGGTTTAAAAGCAGAGTCCGTTACACAAACGTCAGGGAATTGACGCTCGAGGTTACATTTCACAATTTAAAGTGCGCACAATTACCCACGGATTTGCATTTGCATTACTGAGCCCATCCGCTTATTAACCAAAATGTTTGTTTGCGGGAGAGAATGGTTTGAAATTCAAGTGAGGATTACATCAATGTTTCAATGGTTTGATAATATTCCCAGATGCATCAAGACCTGGCGCAATAGGGAACTTTTAAACATGCGCCAGCTGCTCAGCAAATGTAACAAGTACAATTACGGGGTAACTGAAAAAGCACTCCACGTTCATACCTGTGCTCTACTACACACTATCACAAATATTTAGATCCCGTGTAATTTTCTATTAATTTATAGCCAAATGTATGCCACACGCAAGTGCATTAAAGGCTAATTTTCGAAAATGACAAGAGCACACATCTTAGGCCTGCTTGTGATAAAAAAACATCTGCAGGACAATACAGGGCAGCAATTCTAAAGAGGCAACTCAATAAACATCTGTTATTTGCATGTAGGTTGATAAACAGGATATTGACATGAGTGAAATTTTTGTTCGTGAGAAAAAAATATTAAAAAAGTCTCATTCACTGTAATCGGCTGTGACGAAGACATGGCCTAGTGGTAGCACATCCAGCACTTGCTGCAGATTCACAGTTCTCATCCAGCGGCCGCCCTGGTTATAACCGCGGGTGAATTAACCACGAAAATATATATCCAGTCTGATTCGGGGTGGACATTAAAGATCCCGTGACTTCATTCCTAATAGCAGACCACTGTGTAGTCCATTTTTTAAATGCCCCAGAAACTACTCCATTTGAATATAAATAGCAATTTTCCCATAAATAGCAAAACCTGGCAGGACCCTCCTGAAAATGAGTCGTGAGACTCATCAAGACATTCCTGATAAAAGAAGCATAATCATAAATAATGTTTAATGTGCCAGAGCTCACTATGAAAGTACTTTTTCAGAATAACAAAGATTAATCTCTTGGTAGTCTATAACACACAGCCTGGATAAAAAATATAATCGGGATGTGGCTGTTCATTCTGGAATTGATCCCACGAATCGAGCATTGACACTAAATGTCCTATCCGATTTGTTCCGGACTAATCCGAAGACATGACATCCCAAGTAGTGACGTCACTGCCATCGTGTTACTTTCCACACTTTTCCTGACAAAAGTAAACAAATCGGGTGACGTTGTTCGCAAGAAGGAAATTAAAATTCAGCACGTAATGGTCAGTTCACTACATAAGTGATCTTAAATCCGAAAGCTTCAAAAATATCCTTACCAATTCGAATAAAACCGAAATGTTTACATTCGTTCACCTACTATTTACTAAACTAGCCTTTTGCCCGTCCAAGGACGGGTGTATTGAAGCTAATCTGAAACTTGCGTGTGCAATTTGTAAGGGCGCGGTGACACATACCTATTTCATTTTAAGGTTATAATCCCTTGTTCATCATGACGTCCTTTTTACTTCGATGTCTCAACAGCGTTTTGGAGATCACGTGACGTGAGGGTTCTGCCTTTGTAGTGAGGGTTGTACGTTGACGCTGAGGAGGGGGAGGAGGCGCCTCGCCCCCCTCCATGTGGAGTGACGTCAGCCGCTAATCATTATTAATGAGGGGCGGGTCCATCTTGACGACCTAACCTGTTCATGATTATTAATGAGGGGGGCTGGTCGCCGTTGAGTGACGTCACGAGCGTTGCACACAGACATTGTCTCATAGTAGGTAATAATAATGGAGGGGGGTGTCCATTTGGCGGACGTCACCTGCTCATGAATATTAATTAGGGGGGCTGGTCGATATGGAGTGACGTCACGAGCGTTAAGGACAGACATTCCTGGGTGATTATAGTAGGGAAAAGGTATATTTTTAGGTTGCGCAATGCTTTTCTAATCGGGGTGCCTCTCGAAAGACGAGATGGAACCCCAGGGATGGGGAAACCCTCTCCTAAAAATAATCAATCCCCTCCTTTATCCAGGAAAGTCTCGAGGCAATTTCACGAGGGTCCACGCGACATAGTGGGACGTTTGTCAACTCCATTACGGAGTGTTTGGTGCTGCGCGGTTATAAACCAGAGCGGTTGGATAAACGCACACATACGGATGCCTCAATTCAAGACTCGTTACGGATAAATTCAACATCGATTGCTGTCAGTTTAACACGCATGCTTTCGCGACCAATATCACCCATAATACAGGGGTTTTTTTGGGGGGGGGTTGTTAGAGCGCGTAAATGTGTCGTTAAACCCGTCACCACCCGACACAGCCGATTAGGATGGTTTGTCACGTAAACAGAACATCCCAATTCATTACGAGTACAGTACACCGGTGTGTGTTGGAGAGCAAAGCCACAACATTTACAATCCGAGTAAAACATTACTGGCGAACGCCGTACTCAGATTGTAAATGATATTGGGCTTTGATCTCCAACACACCGGTGTGCTGTACTAGTAACGACTGCTGTGTTACTGCCATTTTCCGGCCACACGCACCCACACTGCCCCCCTATAGTTGTATCCCCCTGACCCGTGGAATATCCCCGAGTGTCACATCTCCATACAAGGGCTAACAAAGCCAACACCAACCCCACCCCCCCATCATCATCATCATCACCACCCCCCACCAGTGCAGTGAGCTTGCTGCTGCTGCGGCGTGCCCATGGCAAGCGACTGCAGTGGCACACAGCACGCAGGGTCTATTTACAGCAGGCAAACCATCAGCAGATTAGCATCTTCACTAAGCGCTATATCATCAGCATGCGTGCGCCTGTATTGCACATTATTACAGACAAATACACCCAAAAGTTACTCGTCGCTCGCTCTCCGGCGTGGCCCAGTGAACCGCTGATGTTGTTCAACTTTAAAAAAAAAAGTGTTTACCGTACCCGCCGTTACGTTGTTTATTGGTCAGTTAGCGTCCGAACCTCGGCTGAGCTTTACTTGTTAATAAACTATTTTAAAAAAACACACACAATAACTCGTTTGCGTGTGCAGTGGAGTGTCGATATAGATGTTGTTCATATGCGCTCTATAGGTGAAAACATTAAGCGGGTCCGTTAACGCGAGTGGCTTTTAATTTTCGCATTCCGAACTGCTGGGGACTTGGCGTCCGTTCAATAATTTAGGGGAAGGCGTTTCTGTCCATTTTGTGAGAAGCAGAGGAAGGCGGATGGCGCAGAGGAGTTCGCGAATTCATCCTTACAAAATCCACGACAGTCTTTTTAAATAAAATAATACTCATTATTTTATCGCCATTCTACGTGGTGGTGACTTCACCGAAAGAACCAAGAAGATGAATCCCTGCAAGTCACGAAAGCTTTACATCGAAATTTAAGTCTTTTAAAAAAAAATAGTAAAATGAAGGCCAGCGAAAGCGCAACGTTGATCAACCTTAACGAGTTAGTTACACTTTGCAATGTCCACGTCTCGTCGACGGAAAGCGACAACCCCCAAACTCGGCCACCACCAACACCACCACCACCAACCACAACGGAGACGCAACAAGGACCCCCCCCCCTCAGTAGTAGTTTCGTTTATCGAAACCGCACTGCGCTTGGCACTCGCTTCCACACGTAAATTACCAAAACATTAACATCGCGGGCCGCTTACGATACGCGTTTACATATATTAAATGTAAAATTGAAAGCAGCACGACGCCTTGGGGATGGTCCACAGTTCGTTCCGAGACGTTCTCCCCTCGACACACGCCGCCCACAATCCCTTCAAACGTCGCAGCAAGCAGACACATCGATTTATTTCGTAACAGCGTTGACACAAAAATAAAAACCTCCCACGTTACTAAACATACAAGACACTAACCTCCTTTAGGTGGAAAAAAAAATAGTTTAGATCTTGTTTTAACATCATCTGTTTGGTCAGTTCAAGTATAAATGGTTAAGTGCGACAACGCCTGTTTTTAGTTACACTGCAACCACTTTTAATGGACACAACGTCGGATGGCTCCCATCGACGAGTTCGTCTAATCGTTTTAACCAAGTTATTTCGCTTAAAGTCAAAGCTATAACCTCTCTTTATTTAAGTGCACCGAGGCGATTTCTATCCTAGCACACAACCACCACCGCCTCCTCTACACACCGCCCACCACACTTCCATCGTTACACAGTCGTAGTTAACAAGAACAGTAAGTTACTAATTACAATTACATTCTACCGCCGGTAAATGGGGGGAAAAAAATATACAAACTGTTGAATCCTTCGCAAACAAAACTCTGGCCAACCATCCTGAAGGCTAGGATTGTTTATTAGTGGAGGGGAGGGAGAAATATCGCGAGCAATGTACGTACTTGTACAGTAGCAACTCACAAACCTCACCACACACGCGCACGCCTCGCCATTACCTTGGACGCCTGGTGCACTTCGAAAGCCTTGATGGCCGTGTCGGTGAGCTTGACGTGAAGGAGCGTGAGGCGCTCGGGCTCCGCGCCGCACGACAGCGCGAACTCGCGGCCTTCGCCCAGCACCGCCATCTTCCACTGCCCAGCGGCGGCGCCACCACCACCACGGCCAGAGAGGGGCCACCCGCCGCGTGACGTCACGTACGTGTTGCTAGGCGACGCGGGGGAGGGTGGGTGGGGAGGAGCTCGAGAGGCGGAAGACGTCAATCACGGCGGCGTGACCAATCGGAGAAGGGCGAAATGTGGGGGAGGGGGTGGGGGCGTACCGGAATTGTCAATTATTTATTGAGAGTCGAGGAATCCGATGAGCTGTGAAGCTCTCTTTGTCAAAGATGTCCCAGTAAGGGGCTGGTCAGGGTGTCACTGTAACTGTTCCCCGAGTCGTGTCGGGGAGGAGAGTTTAAGCCGTTCACAAAATGCAAATCGAAAAAAAGCGGAAACTTGAGATGACTAAAATTGCGTTTTTAAATCTCAATTTTTGACTATTCCATAGTTCCAGTAGGGTTTTTTTTACTTGATCGGGGGGAAAAAAACCCGTAATCATTTACATTATTATCAGCGCCCGTGTTGTACAGTGCACACTTCAATTCGTATCCATTCTCTCACTCTCTAGGCCCTCTCTATTTATACGCTGTGAATAAGGGCAATGGTCCGAAACGTCGCTTGTCGCCTACCTTTCCTTTTAAGGCCACACACACGGTGAGAGGGGGGATGTTGTCGAAAGTGCTGGCTATCTTGTTGTTCTTCTTTGGTTCTTTCGGTAAAGTCACGTAGAATGAGAATAAAATAATAAATTGATAAAATAAAATAACACAATAATATTCTCACGACGTTTCGGCCACAACACAAGCGGTCTTCATCAGGTGAAGATACGAGACAGTCTGTTGTTGTGGCCGAAACGTCGTGAGAATATTATTGTGTTATTTTATTTTATCAATTTATTATTTTATTCTCATTCTACGTGACTTTACCGAAAGAACCAAAGAAGATGAATCCTTGCAGTCACGAAAGCTTTAAATCGAAATTTATCTTGTTGTTGACGAACGTGCTGGCTATGTTGTTGACTAACGTGCTGGCTATGTTGTTGAGGAAAGTGCTGGCTATATTGTTGTTGTTGAGGAACGTGCTGGCTATGTTGTTGTTGTTGAGGAACGTGCTGGCTATCTTGTTGTTGTTGACGAACGTGCTGGCTATGTTGTTGTTGTTGACTAACGTGCTGGCTATCTTGTTGTTGTTGACTAACGTGCTGGCTATCTTGTTGTTGACGAACGTGCTGGCTATCTTGTTGTTGACGAACGTGCTGGCTATCTTGTTGTTGTTGACGAACGTGCTGGCTATGTTGTTGTTGTTGACGAACGTGCTGGCTATGTTGTTGACTAACGTGCTGGCTATGTTGTTGTTGTTGTTGAGGAACGTGCTGGCTATCTTGTTGTTGTTGACGAACGTGCTGGCTATCTTGTTGTTGTTGACTAACGTGCTGGCTATCTTGTTGTTGTTGACTAACGTGCTGGCTATGTTGTTGTTGACTAACGTGCTGGCTATGTTGTTGTTGTTGACGAACGTGCTGGCTATCTTGTTGTTGTTGACTAACGTGCTGGCTATGTTGTTGAGGAACGTGCTGGCTATCTTGTTGTTGTTGAGGAACGTGCTGGCTAACTTGTTGTTGAGGAACGTGCTGGCCATCTTGTTGTTGTTGACTAACCTGCTGGCTATCTTGTTGTTGTTGACGAACGTGCTGGCTATCTTGTTGTTGTTGACTAACGTGCTGGCTATGTTGTTGTTGAGGAACGTGCTGGCTAACTTGTTGTTGTTGAGGAACGTGCTGGCCATCTTGTTGTTGTTGACTAACCTGCTGGCTATCTTGTTGTTGTTGACGAACGTGCTGGCTATCTTGTTGTTGTTGACTAACGTGCTGGCTATGTTGTTGTTGAGGAACGTGCTGGCTAACTTGTTGTTGTTGAGGAACGTGCTGGCCATCTTGTTGTTGTTGACTAACGTGCTGGCTATGTTGTTGTTGACTAACGTGCTGGCTATGTTGTTGTTGTTGACTAACGTGCTGGCTAACTTGTTGTTGTTGACTAACGTGCTGGCTATGTTGTTGTTGTTGACTAACGTGCTGGCCATCTTGTTGACTAACGTGCTGGCTATCTTGTTGTTGTTGACTAACGTGCTGGCTATCTTGTTGTTGAGGAACGTGCTGGCTATGTTGTTGTTGTTGTTGACTAACGTGCTGGCTATCTTGTTGTTGTTGACTAACGTGCTGGCTATCTTGTTGTTGACTAACGTGCTGGCTATCTTGTTGTTGACTAACGTGCTGGCTATCTTGTTGTTGTTGACTAACGTGCTGGCTATGTTGTTGTTGTTGACTAACGTGCTGGCTATGTTGTTGTTGTTGACTAACGTGCTGGCTATCTTGTTGTTGTTGACGAACGTGCTGGCTATGTTGTTGTTGACTAACGTGCTGGCTATGTTGTTGTTGTTGACTAACGTGCTGGCTATGTTGTTGTTGTTGTTGACTAACGTGCTGGCTATGTTGTTGTTGACTAACGTGCTGGCTATGTTGTTGTTGTTGACTAACGTGCTGGCTATCTTGTTGTTGACTAACGTGCTGGCTATGTTGTTGTTGTTGACTAACGTGCTGGCTATCTTGTTGTTGTTGACTAACGTGCTGGCTATGTTGTTGTTGACTAACGTGCTGGCTATGTTGTTGTTGTTGACGAACGTGCTGGCTATCTTGTTGTTGTTGACTAACGTGCTGGCTATCTTGTTGTTGTTGTTGACTAACGTGCTGGCTATGTTGTTGTTGTTGTTGACTAACCTGCTGGCTATCTTGTTGTTGTTGACGAACGTGCTGGCTATCTTGTTGTTGTTGACTAACGTGCTGGCTATGTTGTTGTTGAGGAACGTGCTGGCTAACTTGTTGTTGTTGAGGAACGTGCTGGCCATCTTGTTGTTGTTGACTAACCTGCTGGCTATCTTGTTGTTGTTGACGAACGTGCTGGCTATCTTGTTGTTGTTGACTAACGTGCTGGCTATGTTGTTGTTGAGGAACGTGCTGGCTAACTTGTTGTTGTTGAGGAACGTGCTGGCCATCTTGTTGTTGTTGACTAACGTGCTGGCTATGTTGTTGTTGACTAACGTGCTGGCTATGTTGTTGTTGTTGACTAACGTGCTGGCTAACTTGTTGTTGTTGACTAACGTGCTGGCTATGTTGTTGTTGTTGACTAACGTGCTGGCCATCTTGTTGACTAACGTGCTGGCTATCTTGTTGTTGTTGACTAACGTGCTGGCTATCTTGTTGTTGAGGAACGTGCTGGCTATGTTGTTGTTGTTGTTGACTAACGTGCTGGCTATCTTGTTGTTGTTGACTAACGTGCTGGCTATCTTGTTGTTGACTAACGTGCTGGCTATCTTGTTGTTGACTAACGTGCTGGCTATCTTGTTGTTGTTGACTAACGTGCTGGCTATGTTGTTGTTGTTGACTAACGTGCTGGCTATGTTGTTGTTGTTGACTAACGTGCTGGCTATCTTGTTGTTGTTGACGAACGTGCTGGCTATGTTGTTGTTGACTAACGTGCTGGCTATGTTGTTGTTGTTGACTAACGTGCTGGCTATGTTGTTGTTGTTGTTGACTAACGTGCTGGCTATGTTGTTGTTGACTAACGTGCTGGCTATGTTGTTGTTGTTGACTAACGTGCTGGCTATCTTGTTGTTGACTAACGTGCTGGCTATGTTGTTGTTGTTGACTAACGTGCTGGCTATCTTGTTGTTGTTGACTAACGTGCTGGCTATGTTGTTGTTGACTAACGTGCTGGCTATGTTGTTGTTGTTGACGAACGTGCTGGCTATCTTGTTGTTGTTGACTAACGTGCTGGCTATCTTGTTGTTGTTGTTGACTAACGTGCTGGCTATGTTGTTGTTGTTGTTGACTAACGTGCTGGCTATCTTGTTGTTGTTGACGAACGTGCTGGCTATCTTGTTGTTGACGAACGTGCTGGCTAACTTGTTGTTGAGGAACGTGCTGGCTATCTTGTTGTTGTTGTTGACTAACGTGCTGGCTATGTTGTTGTTGACTAACGTGCTGGCTATGTTGTTGTTGAGGAACGTGCTGGCTATCTTGTTGTTGTTGACTAACGTGCTGGCTATCTTGTTGTTGACTAACGTACTGGCTATCTTGTTGTTGTTGTTGACTAACGTGCTGGCTATCTTGTTGTTGTTGACTAACGTGCTGGCTATCTTGTTGTTGTTGACTAACGTACTGGCCATCTTGTTGTTGTTGTTGACTAACGTGCTGGCTATCTTGTTGTTGTTGACTAACGTGCTGGCTATCTTGTTGTTGTTGACTAACGTGCTGGCTATGTTGTTGTTGACGAACGTGCTGGCTATCTTGTTGTTGTTGACGAACGTGCTGGCTATCTTGTTGTTGACTAACGTGCTGGCTATCTTGTTGTTGTTGAGGAACGTGCTGGCTATCTTGTTGTTGTTGACTAACGTGCTGGCTATGTTGTTGTTGTTGACTAACGTGCTGGCTATCTTGTTGTTGTTGACTAACGTGCTGGCTATCTTGTTGTTGTTGACTAACGTGCTGGCTATCTTGTTGTTGACGAACGTGCTGGCTATGTTGTTGTTGTTGACTAACGTGCTGGCTATCTTGTTGTTGTTGACTAACGTGCTGGCTATGTTGTTGTTGTTGACTAACGTGCTGGCTATGTTGTTGTTGACTAACGTGCTGGCTATGTTGTTGTTGTTGACGAACGTGCTGGCTATCTTGTTGTTGTTGACTAACGTGCTGGCTATCTTGTTGTTGTTGACGAACGTGCTGGCTATCTTGTTGTTGACGAACGTGCTGGCTAACTTGTTGTTGAGGAACGTGCTGGCTATCTTGTTGTTGTTGTTGACTAACGTGCTGGCTATGTTGTTGTTGTTGAGGAACGTGCTGGCTAACTTGTTGTTGTTGACTAACGTGCTGGCTATGTTGTTGTTGTTGACGAACGTGCTGGCTATGTTGTTGTTGTTGACTAACGTGCTGGCTATGTTGTTGTTGACTAACGTGCTGGCTATGTTGTTGTTGAGGAACGTGCTGGCTATCTTGTTGTTGTTGACTAACGTGCTGGCTATGTTGTTGTTGAGGAACGTGCTGGCTATCTTGTTGTTGTTGA